AAAAATAAAAATAAACAAGACAAAATTTGTGGTTATATTGGCTTTATTTAAAATAGATTCATGTTTTATTTTTTTTTGATTATATAATTTAAACAAATAAAAGTAAATACTCAATATGATTTATATACTGATAGAAATCAATGTTCAAAATTTAAATTGAATGTTTGTATGTTCTAATAGGTAATTAAAACAAAAAAAACTTGTTTTATTAAACTGAAGTATAATTTTAGGTTGAAAGAAAAAAAGTAAACATTATATCAATAATTGTTTTATTATTATTTATTTGTTTACCTTTATTTAAATGATTAATGATTTATTGACTTTATAGTTTATTGACAATAACAACATACACCGACATATTTGTAAACATTGAAATATCTATACATTTCAATTATTAGATAGGGTTATGTTAGTAACTAATCACTCAAGTTTATTTTTGTTTAATTTCAATTAATATTTATTTGAGTGGTGTAAATTTGATTTTGAATTTAGATTAACTTTTTTGATTAGCAATATAGAGTGGAAATTCAATATTTTAAATTTGCAGTTCCTTTCTTTTGGATAAGAATAAGGTTTGGTTCAGTTTTTTAAATTTAATCAATAGATTGAAGAACTAATAAACAAATCACTTAACTTATTTTATGCAAAAAAATAACTATGAAGACAAGAGTTCTTATTACAGGAAATGTGTATGGTAGTTGAATATAGTTGACAAGAAACCTTGGACCTTGGTATTATGTTAACACTCGTTATTACGGCAAACCTGTATTTTTGACAGAACTGGTTCTTTTTAATGGGTTCTAACCTACTTCATCCATCACCAGACCCTGAAACGTTACCACTAAGCGTTTTGAGACTCAACTGACCGCCAGAGATGTTTGCAGTTAATTGGTTACTAGTTAGTGATCAATTAATTGTAAGAAATATAAATACGTGTTATTCCGTAATAGGCGCTCGACTCATCATTATTTCTGTTACTGTAGTATGACCTTAATTATATTCAACTATTGATACCACTCACTATTTAGGTCTCATTTCACTTTATTTGGAATTTTTTTAGTTTGGCCAAGTAACTTACTGGTAAAATAGTTAAATAATTAGGAAATTGGATTTCAAAATCATTCTACAGTGAACTAATTGTCATTTAGGTAGTTGTACATAACAACATTTGATCCATTCCAAAGTTGATCTCATACCATAAGTTCTTTTTATTTGCGCAATAGGTAAAAGTTATACTACATTGATCGTGTGGATATATAACATTATGACAAATTTGTGAAACCAAACTTCAAACTAATAAGAATGGTTGTGTGGTTAAAAAAATACACTTCAGTTTTTTTATTTGTGTTACTGGTATTTTGGGATAACTTTAATGTAAAAACATTTTTGTTACGTGAGAACAGTTTGATCGTAAACAAGAGATAAGAGTGTTTACAGTCTTCTTCAAGAAATATTTTGACTACTGATCTGATCGTTTGCATTACTTGATGAAGCTTTAAGTACCATTGTTATATCCTGGTGAAGATTAAACTAATGTTAACTTTTGAGATTTATTATTGGATTAATATTATATGTATATTTCTATTGCATAACTGTTCAGTAACTAGATTATCTATATCTATATCCCTCTTATTATAAGATTGATTTTGACCTATAGATTGTTATTATACGATTTACTGTTCTTAGGTTATGTTCAGTTTACTGACTACAGTCTTCCACGTTCACAGCCACTTTTAGTCTTGATTCTGTGTAAATATCATTTCCCATTTTAAAACATTTACAATTTGAAACACACATTTTGTCTTTTTCATGATGAAATAACATCGCAGGGAAAGAGAAACTAAAATTGAGATCCTCAAAATTACAAAATATTTAGTCTAAATAAAAAAATATTTTTTTCACTGATGAATGTTTCAATAAGTCTGAGTTATTACATGTGACAGTTTTATAAGTAGAAGTCTTGTTTTTATTATTAGCTTCATTCAATATTATATTTTCGGTACAATATAGAATTTAAGCACAAAGTATTTCAACAAGTTTTCTTTTCTTATTTCTTGATCGGTGCTGAAGATAATTATTCAGTGATTGCCAGTTAGTTGTTAGCAGTTCAGGAATCAACATCTGAATAATGTTCATTCTTTTCAATCCATATTTTCAGCAATCACGATGTCTCCGATCGAACATTTTTGTAACTTGTACCGAGAAAGGTCGTAAAATCTTCACAAACGCACCTGAATAGGCTATGCAATTAATTGACATAATGATCTGTTAAAATAAACATGGAAACAGACAACTTATCGAAATATCTAGATGACAGGAAGAGATGGCTTGCTTAGGTATCTGTTATTTACTTTTATTCTTTGAATGGATATAAATTTTCAAAGCAATCTTCAAATATGTTATACTTCTCTTAAACCTTGACTGGTATACACTATCCATAAACACATCTACACACAAACACAAGTAAATAAATTGATAAACTCAGTATGAATCAACTGTTCTCAAAGCTTAGGCTAAAGCATTTGTTTAATTATTTAACTTACGAGAAACATGGTAGTTAAACCAAACTGCTATTTATGAACAGTGATATCTGTGTTATTTGGAAGTTTCTTATGTAATCCTAGCAAAATAACAAGTTTTGATAATATACGTTTATTGCACAGATTGGTAAATTTCAGCAGATATTCCTGCTAAAGTATTATAGCATTGTGTTGTTTTTCAATCACCTAAACTACAAGTACTCCAGACCATATTTGATTTAAAATCACTTCCTTCATAATGATAGGAATTAGAACAATATCAAAGTAACTGGTAAAAATCTCAAATAAGACGACTGGACTTGACATATTTTCCTTACTTAATACTTTACTGAATGCTTCCCGTTTAGTTCAGTGAATTGCGAGCATCGATTTAATGATGCAGAAGTTTCCTTTATTACCTGACATTATTTAGATAAAAAACCGAAAGAAAGGAATATTGAGCAACTGATTAATTTCATTTTTTTCTTGTTTTTTATATTTAAAACACATTTTTTTCAGCAATCGTGTTTAATTACTTGTCCAAATTGGCCATGAAATAATATTTCTTATTAACTATTCCGCCTAACTTTAGATAAGATAAGTCTGTGTAATGTTTCTCGAGATGATTTATCAGGTACGTATCAATTAATATCTCCCGTGAAATCGATCTTTCAATGTCTGTTGTGATTATCAAAAACCATTTACTTTAAGATCATGATAAAAAACAGCTTTAGAATGAATCTATCGAAAGTGATGCTTTCACCGGATCATATTTTCTATGTTACGTCTTAGTGTGAATATTCTCTTCATGAGTCATTGTGTTAAGTTTTGCTGCTCAGCTAAAATGTAAGTGTAAAATCAATTGGAATGCTATATGCATCAGAAATATTCCAAAAGGCACTTTACGATCTAAGCTCGAAATATTGATGCATCAGACTTTTTTTTAAAGATTATCATTAACGTTATGAACGAAATCATTTAACTTCCCACCGACTATCTTCAGTCACAATATAGACAACCAAATCAATTTCTTAATCTATTCACTTCAGTTACCCCAATAAATTATTACAGTCTTATAATTGATACCCAACTATTGATTCAGTAAATTACATATATCACAAAATATAATCAACTATTCTATGAAATTAATTATCCACTGTCTTATTATCTTATGCTATTAATCACATTAAGCGACATATAGTAAAAACTAAAATGACGCCATATGATTATTTTCGAAAATAGATTTTCTTTTTCTTCTAAAATTTCGGAAATGTTAAAGGTAATTTAACATAAGATTCATTTATTGGTTCATTAGAAGATATTTTCAAGAAATCTGTGTAAACTAAATTTATCCGTGGGGTTTGAAAATAGGAATATTTTGACTCATGAATTGATCCTCGAACAGTTTAATAGGTCTTATTCATATGAAATAAGAAAGCGAATCTTTGGTTCAAGTATAAAAATTAGTAATGACAAATGTTTGTTTATATCTTAGCAATTATTAGTACCAAGATCTAGTTTACTCGCTCGACTGCTTCTAAATATTCATTACTCCACATAATGAAGTATGATCTTTAATCAGATGAGCGTTTAGAGATCATTCATTTTTATAGGATGTACGCGTTTTTGTTTTACAACTATGCTAGTGTTGAAGATGATAAACATACCAATATGTAGATCATAATTTTTTTCAATAGTCAACTATATTGCCACTTAGTTCAAGAATAAATCGTTTAAAACAAAAGTTTTAAGTGTCTATAAGAATACAACATTTAGTGGTTAAACTGAAATTGAATAATGAATATCTTATATTTTTAATTATTTATCTAGCAAATTTCATTCATTTAAACACATAAATATTGGTACAAAGGGGAATCAGATATATATGCGCCACACAAATATCATTTCATTTGTATGAGGGCTTCCCGGGTGACCAAACCGAAACAGGTGGTTTTCTTAGGGGGCCACACCCAGAGCCTTTGACCTAAAGGTATGATCCACAAAGCAGTTTAACATCATAAGGAGTCCCATGGTAGCCTTTAACCAACGACTGATTTATGCGCCATTCGTTCCCTCAGGATACTGGCTGGAGCCCATGTGGAGCATTGGTTTGAAATCAGGGTTTTACAACTCCCCTAAGAGGACTTTCCGTGTCCACCAACTTGGATAAAGCACCGGACATTCGCTTTTCGTCCTCTCACTTTCATAAAAAACATCCCTGCCACGAGAAGGCAGTGAGTAGGACTTCGCTGGCATAGGTTATATACGCGTGGTCATGTGAGAGCATTTCGAAGGAGAGAACGGACGCTCCCCACTCTCTGTCGTACCAGGGCATTTATATTTGTTCAACACCCTAACTTCTTCAATCATCGTTTATGGAATAATCATGAGTCACGCTTTATTCAGTTAATTATTGATATTATTAATTCTTTTCAAAAAAAACCAAAAGAAATTTTAATTCTTGTCTGTTTCTTAATTTAGATTTTCATTATATCACATGCCAGTCAGATTATTTAACATCAACAAATTTGATACAGTTACATCCTGAAAGTCAATCAGTTACACTCAATAGTACAGTACGGTTACAATGTCGTGTACGTATGCTGATAGATCCAGACACAGGAGCAGGTGTACAAGTTTATTGGTCTAAAAATGATTTTGGCATTGGTGGTAATCGTGAAGATATTCAAGAGTATGGACGAAATTCACGATATGATTACTCTCGCTATGATTTACCATACAACCTGAAGGAAGGTATGTTATTCTCAGTCACTTCACTATAACATATATATATATATATATATATATATATATTTCATATTTTGTTGAATTAGTTTCTCTTTTACAAATGGCAAATGATCGTTATGAGCTGGTAATGGGCAGTTTGGGAACTTGACTTGAGTTATATGCAAACTGCACTTAATCTAATTACTTTTTAAGTAAAGAAGAGTAAATCAGCTAATGTGTTAAACGCGAATTTCAGTAAATGAGATTTTACTTGAGCACTATCCTGTCGTTGTCTCATTAGTTTTCCCTAGTTTACGCAAACTAAACTGACTTGTATCAGCACCAAGTTATTTTATAGTATTTTATAACTTTTATAAGAGTTCCTCATCGCATGAATATTCTATGTTATTACATTTCGCTTCTATTATTAGTTGTGAACACATCCACTCATTGTGGCAGTTTCATTAACTCTAATGTCTTGCTAGTTGAGGAACGTTACATTAAGAAAATTTGAAACCTATTTGATTTTTTAAAAATCGTTTTTTTGGAAACAATTGGCGATCAGGTATACTATTAATCACAGTAATCCGGGCCACTTTACAACTATAAAACACGGACAATGAGTATGTCGAAGATACATAGACCGCAAATATTTGATCACAAATGTTGACCTCTGATGGTCCAATCAGATGGTAAACAGTCGAAATAGAAAGCGCGTTAGGCAAATATGCGATGAATTGATCAGCCGTGTCGCGAGCATTCATTGACCACGTCCGTTCGAATGTGTACAGTTAGTTTTCTGCTATCTCATACCTCGATATAATGAGCTGGCTTATATACTTATATACGAGCAAACGTAAAACAAGCTAATGGTAGTTAGTTCAAGAAATATTATCACTTCATGAGGTTATTTACTACGTTTTGACGATAAATTGTAAGGCTCAGACTGATTAGTTGAGAAACTAATTTCCTTAGGACTTTGGGTGACGTAATTGGAAATTATGTCTGTCATCCTGATAATACTATTGTTCTAACACAGCAATATTAAAGGCATGTTTAGTCTACAGTATTCCCTTCTACGCACTTTTGTTTGTTAGTTCACTCTTAATTCACTACTGATTTATTTCTTTTGTTTGTATTTTTGTTCTGTCCCGATATGAAATCAGGCCTAATGAGTCTATGCTCATTTTTGACAGATGCTACGTCTATCTTATCTGTTTTTTTTAGTTTATATTATACTTTGTGTAATGAAATGTGATCTTTTGTAGTAAAAGTAAATAGAAATGCAACCAGTTTTCAAGATCACTATGTGAGCTTTAGAAAAGCAATTATTTCAATGTTTAATGGAAGCTTTCGTTTTTAAACTGTCTTTGTAATTCTTTACATTCGTTTAGTTATTGAATGGAATATTTTTCATACCTGCAAAGAAATATTTATGTACTGATTTTTACAAATTTAAGTCAAAGTTTGGTTTGATCCATATCTAATTGAATTTGTATACAACTAAACGATCGCAAGCTATGATAGTAAATCTGTCCAATATCTTCTCATCCTGGTGGTTCTTTAATCGAAGCCAGATTTCGATGCGAAATCATTTTTATAGCCTCATATGTTCTTTCATTATCTCTTTTGCTTTCAAGGGTTAAGGTTTTCTGTTAAATTTAGTCTAAGACTTGGCCTATTCAACAAGGGTATTGTATTGAATTCATTTTCAATGACACTATATTGTATTTCTCTTATACCCTATATCAATAAAAAGAAACAATAGATATGCGAAAAAAAAGAGAATAAAGGTGTTAAACGCTTTTTCTCTTCTTTTTTTGTTTATCCTAAAACATATTTGAATTGTGTTTTCATCACCTTTGTTATTTCATATATCATAGTTAGAATGCATCAAGGGACAGGAAATCCGACTCTCGTTAACTTTTCCAAAAGAAAAAAAAAACATTTTTATTTCATTTTACTCGAATCGAATTCTTACAAGATTACTACTTATATAATTATGTTAAGGATAGTAGTTCTTAATGATTTTTTATGTTTATCTTATCAATATACGGTTTAAAAAGGAAGTCATTAATGTTTTAATTATGACTCAAACACATATATGTTTACGAAATTCCACGGATGAATATATCTAGCTATTTTTGTAAGACTTTATGATTCTCTTAGGAGCTATGTGTTTAGGGTTAATAGTGTAGTGTGGTCTATTTATATCCATATAAGTAGTGTATGGTGATTGTCAGTCATAGAATGTATTTTGGCAGAAGATCGATAAGAAATGAACAGGAATGAAGCGCAATCGGTACGAAAATGCATGAATAATAATAATCAGAGAAGACAGACTGATATTAGCAGAAGGAACAGTTAAGATTGAAACAATTGATTGTTATTTTGCAAATTAAATGTTCATTGTGAGGTTATCAGAATTTAGTGAGATATTCTGTAATTTGTGTTTAAATACATTCGATTATCCCCAACTAGTATCCAGTTCACTACAGTAGAGTTAAGAATTCTGAGATAGTAAACAGCAATATCGTATCTTTTTTTAATAAGATACCGTGTACTTTAATCAGATGTGTGAACGTTTTGATTTTTTGCTTAATGAGTAATGTTTGACCATTTTGAACTTAAAACTAATTTATAAAGGCTTTAAAGGATCATTTGTTATTTAAACAAAGTTGGGATGTTTAGCTCCTGTGTGAATTAAGATTCAGTGAATAACTAATGTAACACTATCGAGTTCTCAACATTCAACAAATTCTGTCAATGAAGAGATTTAGAATTATGATTGAGTTAGGTCAATAAAAATAAAATTTCTTCAATAATATGTTTTATTTGTTAGCATATGTTTAAAATCTGAGATAATAACTTTCAGAAAGTTATTTCTCTGTTGAAGATTTAAACTGGCCTAAACATGATCAAATATTATTAAAACTGGTTGTCGGATACAAAAGAGAAGGAATAAAGTGAAGTAGAACTTATTCTTACATCTAAATACTGAAAACTCTTATATTTGCCTTGTAACTCTTTAAATACTTCGACTTTGATAGTCGAAAAAACTAGAGGACAAAGATACAATCAAGGTATTTAATTTAAGTTTATTTATGCATTTAAATATAACTTTAAGCATTTGAAGTATCAATGTTAAAACTAATCATATATTAACCATAAGTTTAGTTACTTTAGAAAATATATAGATAAATTGTGTTAAAATTATTTCCGCAGTTAATTGGCTAGAAGAGTTTATTTGCTTTCATGGTTTGTGTAGATTACTAAGATATGATTTTAGTAGTGTTTACCACTTAGAAGAATAGGATGTTAGAAAAACACTGATTTGTTCTGTTTGGAACGAGTACAATAACCTTTGCTAATTACCCTGATCAACAAATCTGATGGTTAAAACACAAGCGTTTTGTGGTCCTGCATACAGAGAAGTCTTAATTAAAACAAATCTTTTTATACTACAAGCCTAAAATACATCTTTGTGCTCATTGTACCTCGGTGAGTCATATAATTTCTAGATAAAACTACAAGATACATCGTCAAATGGTTACTAACATACTATAATTCATAATCAGTTTTGTTCCTAGATTCGTTAACAAACATGGTAAAATTACATTGCATTTATTCAAAGATCTGTTCTGTTGATCAATTAACCAATGCATTAACCAGTGATTAGTTGACACTAAGTATTCCCTATTTTATTGTTGTTTCGAAACACTTTCTGTGAAACTCATAATCTATAATCACCTATCAACAGTAAAAACAAGTACAAAACATTAATTAATTAACCAACTGACGATAATTCCTTCTTTTTTAACTACAATATTAACATGAAAAGAATTTGAAGCTAAATAATGAAAAACCTTTGAGCGAAATATTTGATAGGGAAATTTCTATGTATTTGTTTGTGAATGTTTAACTGACAAGAAAATGATAAATGTAGGCATATATACTGTTATATATATATGGAGTAACTTCTGCGAATGAATATAATTCTAGCAAATAATTGTAAAACTTTGTTACTTGAGACCATGAATCAATTGAAGCTAGACCACAATGGAAAACCTGGAGGCACTGGATGGCCATTTCGTCCTATTGTGGGACTCCTAAGCAGTGCACATCCACGATCCCGTCTTGCGAGATTCAAACCTAGGACTGCTGAAAAGTCCCACAATAAGACGAAACGGCCGTCCAGTGCTTTCAGGTTTTCCATGGTGGTCTAGCTTCAATTGATTCATGATCTCAACTATCAAAATTACTATATTACCAATAAAACCCCTTCTGATAATTGTAAAACTATCAATCATATATTTCGAAAGATATTTTTGTAAAATTTACAGAAATGTCAAATACAGAAAACTAATAAACAAAAAAATTTCATTTCTTCAAAATACTTAAAGACAAGATGTTACTTATCAGATCTTATATTTGTTACAACACTACAATTATTTCTTGTAACTTTATCTATTATTGGTTAGATATACAACTTAATTGAGTCTGTTATCTCTCTCTTAGGGCATAGACAACCGACCAGGGATTTCTAATTAACTCAACCTTGCCTTGTGATATATGGTATGTTCCATTCACCTACACTGTTTTCTTTTCTAATTTCCTCTTACAATAATAGTTGATTGGATTTCTACCTGAATAGACTATTGATGATGGTGTGTGGCAAATAATTTTTTAGTATCTTGTGTAAACAGATAATTATAAATACCTGTACTTTTCTGATGGTGATGATGACGATGATGATAGTTTTTTATGTTTTTTAATGCGATTAGTATAACGTTGGTGTTGAAAATTTCGAATTCGGTCTTGATGGACATTTCTTTTGAGTCCTAGAAATGTTTCAGTTGTAGAAATATTACCTTTGCTTTGCCCATCCGGGCCTTCATATCTCTACCAAATCCTCCTTGTTTATCAATAGTGGTGTTTATGTATGTACGAGCTTCCACCCCTTCCAGACCTTAATGGTGGTTTTTATAATTTTCGTTGATATCTATGGTGGGTGCTTATCAGTGGAT